ATAATACTTTTTGGGCTTTGTTTAGTAGTTCAGGGTTGATATTATTCAGAAAATTGATTTCGAGCTTAAAGAATCCTCGTAAAAAGTAAAGCTTACTAACTTAAAAGACAAGGCCAGAAGGATTTTATCAATATATTCCTACGTTGCAATAATTATATACGATTCATGGATCATTTAATGATATTAAAGAGTGATGTACAAGAGTTTGTTTTCTAGTTTCCACAACCTTTCTATTTGCTATCCTCTACTAATTGAACACTTTTTTCAACTTCCGTGTTGCTTTATAAAGTAGTGTGTTGCTCGATCTTGGCTCATGCTACTGTTATAGCAGCAGCAAAATGCATCTAAGGAGACAGAAAAACTAATTGCAGAAGCACACAAATGGACCAAGGCAAAGTATGTTAAATCTAATTACGCAAAGCAAAGTAAAAACAGGTCCTTACAAACAGCAAACGCAAAGTTTTGCCCAAGGAGTCTTAAAACCGAAATCACTGTCCAAGTAAAGCCAAAATTCATAATGAAACATGAAAATTTTTCTGTTCAAAATCAGATTTTCATAAAATGCCCTTTATAATGTCAAAATCTAAATACTTGGTTTCTAAAGAATCGCTTATCCAAAATTATGATTTGTTCGAATTTTTCATGAATTCAATTTCATAATATTTATCACTTTACAAGGTATCTTAGAGGTTTGCCTTGTCAAAAACAAAAATGATATTACACAGGAAGGTATATTTTCACCTGCAACACTCTAAAACCATCGGCTGCAAGGGTCTCAAATTCCGTAAACAATGTAAATCAAATATTACCTGTGTTACATGCATATTCCTTGCGAGGATCACAAGTACAATTGAATGATTAGAATTCTGAGAATTTTTTCTTGAATATTTGCAAATCTGGCGATTTTGTTCATTTCGTTTGGAACTGAGTTAGCAACAGCTTGTTCAGAATGATCAAGAAATAGAATTTCATTTGCAATTTATGAAGGGTCTTTATCAAAACATATTCAGAAAATATATTTTGCACAAGTTGTTAAAGCAGTTTATGTACAGCAAGTGATTTGGAGCATTCTATAACAAATATCTAATAAACAATTGATTATCAAGGCAAGTCTTCTACCATTTTGATTACGTCATCTAAGTCGTATTCCACATTCTGAAAAAATGAAATCACTTGATGGTCAGTGGTAAGAATGCTCAAAGATTGTATGAGGTGAGCGGTTTTCTTGCAGTATAAAGTAAAAAGACAAAATTTTCTAGCTTTGTGATAATAGAAAATGCGTTAGCAAATGCGTTTTTTTACATTATTTTGTATAGTTTACTTCATAAAAAGTATTCACTTGGTATTCAGGGCTTTCAAAATATTCCCAAAGAATTCACAAAATAAAGAACTAATGTTCCAAAATCTTTTTAAAATTTTGAGAATATTCTGGCTTGAAGACGTGACAAATCTTAAATAGTTTGCTGGCAGAATAGAAAAACCTGAACTGGTTAAAAATTGAGAACTTTTTCTAGATGAGGAATTCTTATGGACAAGGAATTTGTTACATATATAACTTTCATCAAAAGTTACTGAAATTTTTATACAATCGTTAGTGTTAGTTCTTGATGCTCCTCTACCTGTCTACACCTGCAATGGACAGGGAGCATAACATTTCATTTTCTTACATTTTATTTTATCGGGGATCCTTTCCAATATTTTTCAGACAACCGGAGATTTTTTACCCAGAAAAGCTAATTTTGTAAATGATGCATTTTTATTTTCCCGCCATTTTCACCGTTGACGAATCGCGTCAGCTTTTACTCGGCCATAGCAGTGAACATCAGTATACGTGAGCTTTTCATCGATCTTCAAACATTTAAAATGAATATACAAAGTACCTGAGCGCAAAAGAAATTGTTCAATTGTAGTTATTTTAAGAGAATGGTGGGCTGCATCTTCTCTCAGTGGAATTTAGTGATTTATTTTGTCGTTAACACAAACATCAATGCCGACAAGAAAATATTTTAACATTGGCTTGTAAAGGTAAGTTCATATTTGTTAATTATGTGGATAAACCAACTTTTAAGGTTTAAATACTGTAATTTTTCTGTTTTCCCTCTCCCTAAATTCTTCGTAACTAATGATCGCGGAAAAAATGTTTGCTGAGTACAACGGCAGTTTTTCCATGAATTCATCAAAGATGCAATTCTTTAAAGAAAATTTAGATTATCTTTCAGCACATTTTACACCATTATTTTTTGCAGATAGTGGTAAAAACATCAAAATTTGGCCTAAATGTAGCTGCACGTTATTTTATCTTTGTTCTGACGATTTACACTCCGAAGAGTGTTAAACGAAAACCTTAGTATGTTTCATAATGTTTGCTTTTTTCAAAGCCACTTCCACATGCCATAAAAGACTCTGCAAAGAACATACATACGGAATGATCATTATATAACATGAAATCTACCAATAACAATACTTTACACGAACCATTCTGTTTGAAATTTGTAAACCTCAAGCTTACATACTTGAAGATATTCTTGCCTGTTCAAGAACACAGTCACATACCGACCAAGCAAAAAAAGCCTCGGACTATAAAACTTTTTCAATTCACCGATTGCCAACCTTCCATCTTTTACGCAAAGCGCATTGTTTCATCCGCCACTTAATCTAGCATCTCCAACACTGATATCGAATGGATTGATTCTTTCTTGACCCAAAGTTGCGCCACATTTTATTTGGACACTTGTGACAGCAACTTGCCTTGTTAGGTCCACTTGCCACCAGGGTACTATGTCAGCTTTTGTGATACTGCATCGCTGCCAGTCTCCAGTTTTGTTACCGTCATTTCCAAAGCTGGCAACAAATGCAATTCCATCATATTTATGAGCGGATGAATGCAAGGACGGCTTCTTATAAGCTATATTTCCTTGAACGCCTAGAATTTAAGACAAATCAAAGGATTTTATTAGAAATAAAACATCTTGCGGAATGCTGCATTTTCTTATTTACTGTCAAATTGCAACACAATAATACAAGGATCATACAACGAGGAGCAAATGTCAATGACTACCCTAGGGCCATTACATGGGAACATACACTGCTAACCCATGCATAAATAAGATTGAATAAGGTAAAATAGCCAAGAAGATATGCAAAATAAAATAATTTAGAATGTGATGTAGAGAGGAGGGGTGTTTACAACCCCAATTGTGGCTTAACAGAAAGTTTAGGAAAAGTCCGTTCAGTGAATGAAACGATTTTGTAATTCAGAGACATTCAAGTACTAAAATCAGTAAAAAGTCAGGCATTTGTGACAGCTTGGTTGGTTAAATATGCTTTTTCTGACAGAATACAAAAATCAAGCACTCCTTTAGTAAAAGTGTGCCTTGTGTTGATCTTCACTACTTTTTTTGGAAGAAGCATAAATTACAATGCATAATCAGTAAAGATCTTTTTTACACGCATAAAAGGATTTATTAACCAGTTATTGATTACTAACTAGAGCTGTTTATTACTTGGCTTTGGAATAACAACTCATACCTCTTCTTGCTTGTTTCTTAGACCATATAACGAAGTTTGATCTCTCACCTGGTCATGTCCTCTGTCAGCTAAGTTCTTCGCTATTACCCATGCGAAATTTTGTTGCAGAGCTCGAAATGATCGAAGCTTAACAAATGCTTACTCGTGAAATCTGAACCTAATAAGCCCATTTGAAGTAAACTTTGCAAAGAAAAATAAAATGATTTTAAGACAAAAGAAATGGGTGGGTAAGCACAGTCAAAATTGTTAGATTTTGATTATCGATTAACCGGAAAGGGAATGTATGTATTCCTCAAATTTCGGAATAGTCAGAATGGGGAACGTTAGAATAAAAATAAACAAAAACTTACTTTCAATTTGTTGAATGTTTTGTACGATTGTCTCTGTTTCCAACCCAGCAATACTTCACTCCTCTAAATGTTAAACTATTTGCGCAAAGAAAAGATGCGAATCTAAAAATAAAGAGACATTTGAGAAGTACATCATTTGTTGAGGGATATTATTTTTGTTAAGCTAGACAAAAGAATTATTCCTCCTGCATATTTAATGCAACTTCTTCGTATTCTTCTAATTTGTCCATTGCTATTGAATTTAATCCCATTTTAACTAAACAAATGCAAGATATATCTAACAAAGAATTTCTTTTAAACTCAAATTCATAGCGATAGACACAGGACAACTTTCTGGAAAGTTCCAAATCTGTCAAAGCTTGCTTAATTCTACCCAACTGTATACAATACAGCCTTACGATAGGCACGCAGGCGATGATGAAAATGGGAAATTAAAAGATGGAGAAGGATACTTGCCCCCTATTAACATCTGGCCACGAATCATTCTACACATTTTCAATGATCACTAATTACGCTTCCAAAAGGGTCTTTCCTAAAATTTGTGAGCAAACATATGACAATAATCCTAAAAGCTTTTCAAATAAACATAAAATGGTGCGTTCATCTTTATTTTTTGGTCTAGTAATTGAGTAAATGTTATTTTTCGTAAGCTCACCTGAGCAATTTCTTTTTCAGTAGATGAAATTCAGAAAATGTTTCTGTTGAATTTGGAAGAAAAGAATTTACAGAAATATAGTGCAATATGTTTGGTGCAGGTAGAAAAAAGGTTCAGATCGAGGGTTTGTACTCAATCCTAACATTATATAACCCCCTCCCCCCGGGGTTTTGGCTTGGTACAATAAGTGAATTTCATTTTTCCTCATTTTTCCCTATCTTTATTAACCCTAATTCTTATCACTCTAATTTCCTTTTTATAAAATTTACAAATTTGACATTTCTGGAACCTTCTTTTATATAAATTGAATAGAAAAAAATCTAAATGCTGTTAAAGCAATAAGATTTCAATAAACGATTGAACAAAATTTAATCGAAGTCTCTGTTAGTGTGATCACTTGACATGCTGATAAAGCCTTAGGATTTTGAAGATATGATTTAATATTTTTTTACATTGATTATATAAAGAAAATAAAGTTCAACAACAGTTAATACGCAAAACATAAATCAATGCATTTCAATACAAAAATATTCATCATCAACTGTTTACACATAAGATTATCAAGAAACAGACTTCGATTGGATTTAAAAGTGCCTATTTATTTAAACTTCTTCAAAATTTGGAAGTTGCGCAATTTAATAAATCAATCGATTTGCAGCAAATGACTAGATGCAATTAGAACCTTAAATAACAAGAGATCCTTCAAGTTACTAAAGCAAAACTCTTATTTTAATGTATGTTTGTGTTATTATATTCTTATTATTCTAAGCAACAAGAACTTTTGCAGGTTGATTAAGTAAGTAACTTTCGGCAAAAATATTCAGGAATTGCATCTGAAAAATATTTAATAACAACAGTGTTTTTAACAGTGTTAAACAAATGCAAATTTTCAAATGTAATGATAAATTGCGATGTTGTCAAACGTAAAAACAGATTCCAATTTCAATTTATGAATATAAAATCAGTTGATGGTCATTGCAAAGTGTGTTTAAAGTTGGTAAGAAGTGAGCTGTTTTCTTCCAGTATAAGGTTAAAAGACAAAGTTGTCTGGTTCCCCGATCAAAGAAGATGCATTTTCAAATGTATGTCTTGATTTAAGAGTGCTATATTATCGATGTTTTTCTATCTATTCTTCCACAAAATTCAACTTATTTTACGCGTTTGTCCTTTTCTTGATTCCCGGCGTTGCTCCATTCGCTTATTTTAGACATTGTACTTCTTTCTTTAACTTTTATTTTCTTTTCACTTAGTAATCGTTATCATACTATTTTAATTTTTTGCAAATCTTTGATGCAAAACCCGTGCTTTTAACACTAACTTTTTTCTGAAGATGAAGCATAGTAGAATCTTGGCCTCATCTGGAATTGTTTGTTTCACCTTAAGAATTTGACTTACAATATTTCTATGAAAAAGTCTTTACTACGAATTTTCTTTCTTTCAATTTGCTAACTTCAATTTTGTTTTTCAAGGATGAATTGTGACAAAGATTACTGTTACATTTTCCTACATAATGTTTTTAATTTATAGCAAAGGTTGTGTCAAAGTAGATCTAAACTCTGTTAGCCTGTAGAGAATATGTTTTCTTGAAAGTGTAATAACTTTATTAAAGTTTTGCTTGTGAAAAAAAAAAAACGTATTAGGCTTAGGTTCCGAAGTACTTTTCTCCGGATGATTAAAAGTAGTTCAGCATTCTAACGGAAGAATTTTCTTGTGAGAAATAATTCTATCTAAGATGATATTTATAAATAATTTCTGTATGCTTTTTTTTGATTCGTGAAACTTTATCATCAAAATTTTTTATGCTTATAAACAACTATTGTTGCTAGGTTTGATGGGCTTCTTTATGTGTATATCTTTAATGGACAAAGAGATTTTCTAATTGCTTTTGTAGAAAACGGCTAGTAAAAAGTAAGCCATGATTCAGTACTAATATTTTTTAGACTGTTGCTGCTTGTGATTTCTGTAAATATAAATGGAGAAATACTTCGTCTGCCATGCAAGATCTTTGCCAATTTTACTGCTGTGCTTCATGATCAATCACTTAGTTCTACATTTCGTTCTTTGGACAACTTGGATGAGCAGATGTGTAAGTTTGAATGCATCATGGAGCATCGATGCAAGTCTATAAATTTAAACAGAGAGTTGGGTATTTGCCAGTTGAATAGCAAATCAGCACAGGATCCAAAAGATTTCATTGAAACGCAAAAAAAGGAGGGTTGGACATATTATTCAACCCGTTTTGAAGAGAAAAATGTGAGTTTTCTATTGAATTACCTATTTAAAATTCAACTAACTTTTATAAATTTAAAAACTAATTTCGTGAAGAGCTTTTATTCTCGTAAATTTCAAGACTGATATAGCACTAGTGATATGTTGTGATAGGGCTAACAATTGATCATTCATGAAATAGAATTTTACATCGCAGGTTGGTCAGTTTTGCCAAGCAAATGATCCTTGCAGCGCCGGACATAAATGCATTGACACTTGCTATTGCCCAGGGTATAAATGCATTGGTAAATACAATAGTAACTACATTTATATCAAGCTCTTTTACTTGAGTCAAAGAACGCAGCACTTAATATCATATCACTTAACTTGTTATAAAAATACAAAGCTCTATCTATTTTTCTTCACCCAAAAAGTACAGACAAAGTCTAAATGAAGAAAGACATTCTTTTCTTTCACAGGTTTTTGTATTGGCATAATTCTGATCAGTAAATAAGTTAAAATGAGATTAAGTC